TCTAGAAAGTTGTCCATTTCTTCTAGGTTACCCAGTTTGTTAGCATATAATTTTTCATAGTATTCTCTCATAATTCTTTGTATTTCTGTGGTGTCCGTAGTGATTTTTCCTTTGTCATTTCTGATTCTGTTTATGTGTGTAGACTCTCTTTTCTTCTTGATAAGTCTGGCTACGGGTTTATCTATTTTGTTTACTTTCTTGAAGAACCAGATCCTGCTTTCATTGATTCTTTCTATTGTTTTATTCTCCTCAATTTTATTTATTTCTTATTTAATCTTTATTATGTCCCTCCTTCTACTGACTTTGGGCCTCACTTATTCTTCCTTTTCTAGTTTCATTAATTGTGAGTTTATACTGTTCATTTGGAATTGTTCTTTCCTGAGGTAGGCCTCTATTGCAAAATATTTCCCTCTTAGCACAGCCTTTGCTGCATCCCACAGATTTTGTGTTGTTGAATTATTTTTGTCATTTGTTTCCATATATTGCTTGATGTCTGTTTTTATTTGGTCATTGATCCATTGATTATTTTGGAGCATGTTATTAAGCCTCCATGTGTTTGTGGGATTTTTCATTTTCTTTGTGTAATTTATTTCTAGTTTCATACCTTTGTGATCTGAGAGCTGGTTGGTACAATTTCAATATTTTTGAATGTACTAAGGCTTTTTTTGTGGCCTAGTATATGATCTGTTCTTGAAAATGTTCCATGTGCACTTGAAGAGAATGTGTATCCTGTTGTTTTTGGATGGAGTGTTCTGTAGATGTCCATTAGGTCCATTTGTTCTACTGTGTTGTTTAGTGCCTCTGTCTCTTTACTTATTTCCTGTCTGATTGATCTGTCCTTTGGAGTGAGTGGTGTGTTGAAGTCTACTCAAATGAATGCATTGCATTCTATTTCCCTCTTTAATTCTGTTAGTATTTGTTTCACATATGTAGGTGATCCTGTGTTGGGTTCATAGATATTTATAATACTTATATTCTCTTGTTTGACTGAGCCTTTTATCATTATGTAATGTCGTTCATTGTCTCTTATTACTTTCTTTGTTTTGAAGTCTATTTTGTCTGATACAAGTGCTGCAACTCCTGCTTTTTTCTCTCTATTAGTTTCATGAAATATCTTTTTCTATCCCTTCACTTCCAGTCTGTGTATGACTTTGGGTTTGAAGTGAGTCTCTTGTAGGCAGCATACAGATGGGTCTTGTATTTTTATCCATTCTGTAACTCTATGTCTTTTGATTGATGCATTCAGAGCATTTACATTTAGTGTGATTATCGATAGGTATGTACTTATTGCCATTGCAGCCTTCAGATTTGTGGTTACCAAAGGTTCAAGGTTAATTCTCTTACTATTTAACAGTCTAGTTTAACTCACTTCATATGCTATTATAAACACAACCTAAAGGTTCTTTTTTTCCCTCCTTTTTCTTCCTCCTCCATTCTTTGTATGTTATGAATCATATTCTATACTCTGTCTATCCCTTGGGTGACATCTATTTAGCCTTAGGAATACTTCAATCTATAGGCATCCCTCCAAAATGCACTGTAGAGGTGGTTTGTGGGAGATAAATTCTCTCAGCTTTTCCTTATCTGAAAATTGTTTAATCCCTCCTTCAAATTTAAATGATAACCTTGCTGAGTAGAGTATTCTTGGTTCAAGGACCTCTGCTTCATTTTATTAAATATATCATGCCACTCCCTTCTGGCCTGTAATATTTCTGTTGAGAAGTCTGATGATAGCCTGATGGGTTTTCCTTTGATGTGATCTTTTTTCTCACTCCAGCTGCCTTAAAAAATCTGTCTTTATCCTTGATCTTTGCCATTTTAATTATTATATGTCTTGGTGTTGTCTTCCTTGGGTCCCTTGTGTTGGGAGATCTGTGCACCTCCATGGCCTGAGAGACTATCTCCTTTCCCAGATTGGGAAAGTTTTCAGCAATTACCTCCTCAAGGACACTTTCTATCCCTTTTTCTCTCTCTTCCTCTTCTTCTGGTACTCCCATAATGCAAATATTGTTCCATTTGGATTGGTCACACAGTTCTCTTAAATTTTCTTTCATTCTTAGAGATTCTTTTTTCTCTCTGTGCTTCAGCTTCTTTTTATTCCTCTTCTCTAATTTCTATTCAATTTACTCTCTCTTTTACTACATCTAATCTGCTTTTAGATCCCTCCATTGTATGTTTCCTTTCAGATATGGAATTTCTTAATGATTGTATATCTGACTTAAATTCATTCCTGAGTTCCTGAATATTGTTCTGTACCTCCATAAGCATATTTATAATTTTTATTTTGAATTCTCTTTCAGGAAGATTGGTGAGTTAAGTTTCATTTGGCCCTTTTTCTGGGGTTTGTGAGATTTTGGTTTAAACCATGTTGTTTTGACATTTCATATTTCTGTGTGGTACCCACTAGTGCCCAGAAGCTCCAGTCTCTGGAGCTGCACAGCCCCTAGAGTGAGACAGGGGTTGTAGGGGAGCAGTGGTGAGGAAAGACCTGTTTCCTGATTCCTGTCTGTGGTGCCTGTCTCCAGTGTCAGAGCCAGTGGGCCAAGCACACAGATGTAAGCCTCTGTGCTTTGCATCTCTAGCTGTTGTAGGTGGGGCCTCCCTCTGGCTGGCCTGATGTCAGAACAGTGACTTCCAGTTTGTGAACTGGTGCCAACAGGCTAGGAGGGAGGCTCAGCAGGCTGCATGTCACAGTGGGGGGCCTCAGAGCTGAGTAGGCAGCCAGGGGGATGGAGCACCTGAAGGTCCTCAAAGTTTCCAACCAGCTGGGCAGAGCGTGCCCAGACAACCTTGTTCAGCTCTCCCTTCTCCCGTGTAGCAAGCTCTGTGCAAACCCCGCCCCTTCAGCAGCCCTCTCACTGCTTGGAAGCCTCTCAGACCATCTGCCTTTCCTCTGGTACAGAGTGGTCAGATGTGGACCCCCGTCCTTCACAAACAGCCAGAATCTCAGTCTCTCAAGCACTCTGCCTGTCTGAGCTCCCCAACACCCAGAGCACCACACAATATAGGTTTCTGCTCACAAGGCAGATCTCCAGGGCTGGGTGTTCAGCAGTCCCAGGCTTCCACCCCCTCCCCGTTCTGTTTCTGTTCCTCCCACCCATGTGCTGGGGTGGGGTGGGGGGAAGGTCCTGGGTCCTGCTGGTTTAAGGCTTTTTTATGTTACCCTGTTTCATGAGGTCTGCTTTGTTCATGAGGTCTATATGCAGTCTGATTCATCCTTCTTTCTTGTTGCTGTTTTAGGGTTAGTTTTATCAATTAACTATATTTTTATACTATTTGTGGTTTTGGGAGGAGTTCTCCATCTCATCTCTCACACTGCCATCTTGAATCTCCCCTCTGTCACTGTTTTTTATTGAGTATTTTCATAGAGAGGAAAAACTCCAGGGTCTTTAAAAAACACAGCCATTACTTTATTGGACAGGAAGTCAATGTAGAGTTTTTCTTCATTACTAAAGATAAGCATTTCAACTGTGTTTCTAGGAGTTGGGGAAATAATTACAGGTGGCTATAGTGGTTTCGGTGGAGAGACAATGGGTCATGATAACTATCTTATTAGTCATCTGCCCCCTAAGCCTTGGACTAATGCACCCCAGGGATCACAAGATAATGGTATTAGTTCTGAGCTGCTGCCTAGTGACACAGGAAAGCCTGGGGATTATTCTTCCTTTGATACAGTTACTCTCCAAACATCTCAGTTCCCTGTTGGAGAGGCTGGGAGTATATTCCCAATATGCACCTGAAATATTGTCAGGGCCAGTGATACCATCAATGAATGTGACTCTGGTGATAGGTGTGGATGAGGAGTATGGTTTTAGTGTGGTGTCAAAACTCTGTTTTCAAGAAGTGGAAGATTTTTCTTATAAGGTTATCATACAAATAAAGTGTGACTTCAAGAGGTTGCTCTTTTATTTCCTGAAGATCCCACAATCAGCTATTCAAAATGGGGTCAGGCCCTCTGATTACCTTTTTTGGGTTTTCTTCTTATTACAATAATTCTATGTGCTGTTCTTCTAGTGATTAAATACCACCACCCCAATGCCTTCCACCACTTCTCTGGTATCTGGGGACAACCACAAAAGTGGACTTTGGATATCCTGATATGCTAACTCTTCGAAGTATTTCCCAAAGCTTTGGAGAGGGAAATGTCTTCCCCAGGACCACCGCATCGGTTGTAACAAGGGTGGGAATATCTCAAAACAGGAAGACTGTTCAGATGATGATAATCAGGAGAGAAAAAGATGCAAACCCAAAACAGAACACAAAGACCACAGACATGAACAATGACCCTATTACTTTCTTACCCCCAATGACCTTAGCAGCAGTCATGGAGTGTGCATTTTTCTTCCTTGGGTCATCTCTGACTTCCCAGTTTTTGAAAAGTAAGTTTTCAGAACTCAATTAAATTACTGTTTATATTATATATCATTTAATTATGCTTGCCAATTGTACTAAATTTTGGAATAAAAGACACCTGTGATTTTTTTTTCTAATTTTGGTTTGCAAAATCAATTTAATATTTTGTGACAAGTGCTATCAAAGAAGAAAGAAACAGAGCAAACTAGAAAGCCATAGAGTGCATTTCATTGCATGCACAAAACAAGGGTAAATGTTTTGTGAAACTTTTGTTTCTTTTCATATACAGTGAAATACAGTAAAATAGTCAATGATCCTTTAGATTTAACAGTTTCAAAGCTCATGTGGTGGACAGTTTATATAATGTCTTTTTGTTAATCAAATATGAATCAAATATTCTTTTCTTTCTTAGGGCATATAGTAAGCACAGCTTTCACAAAGATAAACATGCTGCTTTTCTATGAGCCTTGCCTATCTCAGAATGATTTTATTTTTTTTAATAATGAAATATAACTTAACAATAAAATTATTTTGCCACAATTATTTTCCCTGCTGTACTCTTTGATCCATTGTCTTCTAGGATTTGGATTGTGGAGAATTATAAGGTCTTACTTTCTGATTTTTTGATTACTCTTTTTCTGTCTGTGTACATGTAGAGGTTCTTTTCCTTTCCCTCCATCTTTTTAATTACAATGTTTTACCAACAAGTGTCTAAATTTCTTTCAATATGTACTCTCAACTTATATACTTATGTTTTTATTTCAAATTTCATTTGTAATTACTGCAAATAGTTCAGTGTTACACCAAAAGCAGTCCAATTATCTTTTAATTTTCCATTTCCTCCTCAAAATTATCAGTTGTATTTCAGCACTAAAATACTGAGTTAAGGTCCCTCATGCCTAATATATTCTTGTAGTTTCTATATGAGAACATAACTTGACTGTGTGAAAGACTCAGTTTTGGTCACAGCTGTCTTGCTTACGTCTAAACTATACAGAGTAAGAAGTCAGCTCCAGATAGCTTGTACTCTGACTTCAGAAAACAGCTCACACTGGAATTTTCACAAACCAGCTCTGTTCCTTTTGCTCTTGGCTTGTTTTTTTCTGGCTTCCCTCACCCAATCTCATCTCACACTACTCTCCCCTCATTTATCAACCTTTGCCTCTCTCTAGTCCATGAACAAGCTTGGATGGATGTCATGGTAGGAGTTTTGCAAAAATTGTTGCCTCTCCCTGGAAGCCTCTTCTCCCAAATCCTCCCAACTGATTTCTAGTCAATCATTCAAGTTTTGCTTAAATGTCACCTCCTCAGAGCAGCCTTCTCTGATCTGTCCAAGTCACACTCCTTTATATCATTCACTCGGTTTTCTCCCAGAATTTATTACTTTCTTATATTTTCTCATTTTTAAATGTTTATTTTACTGTCTGTCTCTCCACAGATAAAGGAAAGGACCTTATCCATTCCTTTGCTGAAACAATGAAATTTATATAACGCTTCCTGAATGATAGGTGCTCTTCTAATTAATAAGCAGTTCTAAGATTAAAATTATTTGGGCTTGCTATTTGAAAGTATATGCACACATATTTTATAGCTTCATAGTCTTATTTCCATGACACAATTATCAGAGTTTAAGTATTATCTCAAAGAGATTACATTTACCTTTTGCATTTTTTCACTTATAGAAACCACTAAGCTATATTTAATATTTTGTTTTGTTTTTTACATAGTAGCAATGCCAGGACTACTTATTTGAATGGTATCCATGTATATTCTGTAAAATTGTATTTTAAGTTCTTAGTATTGGTTCTAAAAATTCAACAAACATCATCCCGTATCTGTTATTCTTTGCTGTATATGAGAAATCTAAAGGAAATTTTTTTTGGGACTTAAAGATACAGTTCATCCTAGAACAATGCAGGGGTTAGGGGCACTGACACCCCACAGAGTTGAAAATCCATGTATAACTTTTTGCTCCCCCAAAACTTACTGCTAATAGCCTAGTGTTGCCTAGAAGCCTTCTGATAAAATAAAGTCAATTAACATGTTTTGTATGGTGTATGTACTATATATTGTACTCTTACTATATACAAAGCTAAAGAAAATGTTTTTTCAAATTGTCTCAAATCTCCAAAACTTTTTCCAATATTTTTATTGAAAAATATCCACAGATAAGTGATATAAGTGGACATGTGCAGTTCAAACCCATGTTGTTGAAGGGTCAACTGTATGTTTTCTTTGCCAAATACCTATAAACTATTTCTCTAAACATGTGTTGCTCCCAAGAACTTTAAGGTTAACTTGGTTCAAAATTATAATAAACAAAAGCATCTAAACATTCTTTTCGGTCAGCAAATCATAAGTCATTTTCATAATCGATGAATGTGAAGGACCATCTTCATAAGACAAATACATATATGCAAAAATATGCACATAGTTTCAGGGCATTCACTGCCCCACCAAGCTTATGTACTAACTCAGATGAAGAATTCCTGCTTTACATGGTTTTTGTTATAATTTTATCCTCAAATATTATCATTTGCATTGTTTCATTTGTAAGTCTTCAAGCAATTTTATGACTCCCTCTTATGAAAAACATTATATAACCTTGGAAATCAAGGTTGAGAAAATCAGATAACTTACTTTTCAATCTTTATTTGTTTTTATAGTCATGGATACATACAAGAGTCTCAGAGGGATGCAATATAAGGTGAAAACCACTAGACAACCTCCTTAATTGGTTACAGCTTCTGTTCCAATATTTAAGGTTCCATATTAACTTTTCAAGTTTGGAGAAATAGAGTGCCATGTTCTTTCTCAAAGAGGCCAGTCAGATTCTTGGTGGTGCACTGACAAAGAAGTCTTCATTATTTTGGAAACCAACAGAATGAATTAATGAAGATTCTTTCCAAGCTAGCAGATGTTTTTTATTATGAGTGAGCATGGCAAACATCATCGATACAGATATACATTTGTCTTGCTTTAGAATTGACCCATCTCATGACCTGAACTTTGGGTAAAAGTAAACTATATGAAAGAACTTCCCAGCCTCACTAAATTTAAATCAGTAGGGTAATTAATGCTTGAATGCATGTAATCTTGAAAGCCGAGATATACTTAATAAATAATATTTATCTTACCATTACTTTATGCATTTTAAGTATTAAACTTTGAAAGAATAAATTTCTAGGTTAATAAAATAGCACAATCAATTCCTTTATTTTTCTCATTAGACTGAAAAATAAACCAAATGAACAAGGAAAATGTGAATAAAAGATTTAGCATGAAACATTATTTCTCAGAAGATAATATGAAAATATGCACGCTTCTTATAATTGAATTTCAGAAAATTTACCTGTGAAAAGCAGAGGTATTCATTGCCTTCAAGCTTCATTTTAGAACCTTAATCTGGTTGCTGACAGTCCTACACAGATGATCTTCTGGTTTTTTAATGACAGAAAACAGAAGAATCTCTCTGGAAGGAAAACTTAGGTCATATCTCAACCCATATCTATTCCATAGCATATATAGAAACATTAATAGTTCTGCCTGTCATTCATTGCCAGAGTAGAAAATAGGTTCTAAATAAAAGTCTAATTATCATAAAGCCAAAAATAAGTATGGAATATTTAAAATTGTGTCACTTAACTAGTGAAAACTGAACACATTGTCTTCTTTAGTCAGGGATTTGCAGTCATCTTTTGCATATTGTATTTAGCCAACAATCAAATCTTAATTTTTAATTAGCAGACATTAAAACAACTAGCAGCAAATAACAGATGACAAAGCTACAAAAATTCATAAAGGTCAAAGGAAGCAGCATTTTTAGTCAAGCAAGAAGTGTTCTTTCATGAATTTAGTAAATCACGGTGAGCACTTCACCTTCCCCACAATCATCTCCAAGCCAAATTTTCTAAAAGCAACATTGCTTTTTGACGATAATCATGATGGTAATAATACTGTGGTAGCTGTCAGACCAGAGGGTATACATTCTTCAGAATCAAGAGACCCTCAAACATCAATAAACATCATGTAGAAAGGAACATAACAAATTCCAATACAGCATACACACAAAATTAATTCATTGATCAGAGACCAATACAGTTTTGGATATGCATTTCCAGAAGGAAGCAGAGGGCAACATAAACCCTCTGCAGCTGTCAAACCTGTGGAAGTGAAACAATGTATTACAAAATTCACACAATATAAGAATTATAAGTGAAAAACAAATGCTTTATCCAAAAAAAAATTGGTTGGTGGCCCAAAATACAGTTATATGTATGTATCATATCTATAATGATAAAAATCAGCTTGCATGAGGATCACAGTCTACCTACTTTGAAGTTATATCACACATATGATAAGCAATTTATAGAATTTATCAAGTTTGCATACACAGGAATTGCAAAATGAATTGAAATACATTGAAATATCGAACACTCGAAATGTAGTTATATAAACCTCCCAGGATTGACGGGGATTGGCCGTAATCAGCACTTGCCACTATTGAACAAGAACTAATCAAGAAAACGGAGAAAAATTCAAGAAAAGAAAAGGAAAATAAAAAAAAAAATCTTTCATTATTTCTCATTTTAAATAATGTTCTTGTTGACTTGCGGTGTCGAAAATTTTGTTCTCGCCCCCAAACGGGGGATTTGTTTGATGATAGTTTCTGTCCTGTAGCCTTTTGATCTCTGTTTGCTAGGAGCAGGTAATGGGTCTCTTGGCAGGAAATTAGTGGAATGTGTAGTAAATGTTTACTATACCGACGACATTCAGGCCAACCCCTGAGTAGTCAGTGAGATGATGCTTTAAGTAGCCAAAGGAAAAGGAAAAAAATAGGTCTTGCTATTAGAAAATGTCCTATGACTTCACACTAATTCTCTTGAAATAAAAAGATTAGCGATTTGCCCAAGAAAATATTATGAACAAAGCGTGTGATAGCTTCTTCGTTAATGCTTCCAGAAGCAGGCGCTCCATGTGTAGGTAATTAGAGTACAGTGGGTGCAGAGTGGTGCTTGGAGTTTAGGGTCAACTTTGCTGTCCGCTCCGTAGATTTTACAGGCGATTTGCTCTTTGCTTTAAGAAGAGAAAGTGATATTGGAAAAAAGTCAGCACTTTAGATTAAAGCAAAGCACCCTTCACAAAGCCACAAACAAGAAGCAGGACAGAAAGTCCATGGCTTGTAGCTATCCTCGCACCTGCGGAAGAAGTTATAAGATATTCGCTCATCTTGAAGATTTCCAATGCTCCTTATTAGGCTGTTTAAACACATACATATATATATTTAATTAGCTCGCCAGCTTGGCTCTGGTGCCTCATGAATGTCTTGGCATGCACTGCAAATAACAATACATACAAAGTATTTCAGTCCCAGGAAGTTGGTCTCGTTTGTTTAGTCTGTTTTCAAACAATGCCATCCCCAGTTGGGAACACTGAGAGGAACAAATCCAAATACTTTTCCCTCAAGTAATTCTTTGAGGATCATCCCCTTTGAGGATCCCCTTTGAGGATCATTTGATTGTTCCTATACTGGAACTAAGAACACACCCCCTGCGTACAAGCATGAGCACAAGAACACAGGAGATAAAACTAAAGTTGAGGACAGTGGGCTTCTCAAGGGCAGGAGACTGTGTTCTGGGATTGAGTGCATTTGGGCATTTTCTTTTAGAGGAAGATTCTCACTCAATTTCTTGTCTTTGAAATCTAAGGAAAAGTTAGTGTATCAAAATTTTGGAAATTTTTGAAACAGTTCTGAGATTATGTAAAGGGGAGAATTAAACTGTATTTTTGCATTTTTTCTTCAAATATTTTATCCAGTAAGCTTCTAGCTACAAATGATGTATTACATTCCTTTATTAGTAAGAAAACAAAAATGTGATGTGGCTCAAAGCATCTCTCTTTTTTTAACTGGGAAAAAGTTTAAAAGGTTTGGCATGGATAAGGGTATGGAAATTCAATATTCCAAATATTTCAGTAAATCATGTTCAGGTCCACATTGGCAGTGATAAAAAAATTGAGGCAAAAACACATGCTCTCAAAAAGTCACTGCAGAGTAAGTATTTGGGGGTTCTAAAATGGCTAATATAAGGAGGCTCATATTACTGTTTTTTGGTTAGTTTACTTTAGTGTTGGCATTGTTTTGCCTGTTTGGTAAGTGAGCCATATATTTAACACAATTATCTCCCCACAGAAGCCCAATGGCTAAAGACCCAGAGGTTAATGGTGGGTCTCTGGAGAGTTGCTCCTTCATTCAAGCTGGGCGACAATGTTCAAAGTGCAAAAGTGACAGTCCAGTCCACATGCAGCTCTAAGTACAAGGTCATGCAAAGAAAAGAAAAGCCATCTGTGTGACACCACTAACATCAGAGCCTTCCCACATTAAATATGTTCTTGTTAACTTTTGAAGAGAGATACACTTAATGAAAAAAAGAAAAAGGAAAGAAGTCATTACAATGGCACTGGACACAAAGTATATCTGATACAGAATTTGAGTAAAAGTTTCAAAAAATGCTGAAAGCAATAAAACCAAGTAAAGTGATTCACTTTTCAAAACAGACATTTTGTGAAATAATGGTTTCCTTTTCAGCATGGCACTGGGGACTTACTCAGACTATGCTGTCCCTTTCTCAAGTCATCAGCCACTCCTAGGAAATGCCTGGCCCCATCATGCCTGTAAGATGTGCAGAGAATAGCTACTGCATTGTGGCCTAACATTATGCCCTACATGTGTAAGTCAAAACAAAATTTACATGAGCAGAATAATTGGAAAGACATCTTATACTGCAATTATATAATGTAAAGAGTATTATAAGGCAACTAAAATTTTGCACTGCCATCAGATATATACCATTGTAACAGCCATTTTTTCTCAGATTATGATCATTCATCCACTCTAGGTACATGCATTTCCTAGCATATTTTTAATCAAATGAAATTTCTGTCTGTCAGGCAAATTATATAGCATTTTTTTTCCTGTACAGCAAATCTGGTTTGTCATCAAATCAATGATTGTTTTTCTCTTCTATGTTTTACTTATTCATTGAATGAAGAGATATGTACTCCTTTATCTTTGTAATCCCAAAGATTTAGACAGTGAAATCTGAGGATCTAAGATGCTATAATTTTTCTTGTGAAGTTTTAACAAGTAGTTATTGCAGTCATTTTCATTTAGATATACACTATTCTGACATAACATTAATGTTTATCAAACGTGATAGTCTAGTCAGTACAAAGTTTAAAAAATTGTTTTTTCAGAAAGGAAATTTTGGCCACTCATCATGCTCTATTCTTATTTTTACAGATGGAAACATTTTACTTTTGTGAAATAATGGGTGCCAGAAGTGCAATCAGGGATCCTGAGTTCTAATTTCCTCTGCAGTCACTCACTTCTGACTCCAAAATATGATCTTATTTTTTCTGTGTTTCCTAAAATAAGCATAACTGTTTATATTGTTTTATGTATGTATTTTTCATATTACATATCACGTGGTGTTGGACCACCTGTTCTGCTGTGTTTGGTCTTTTGGCTCTGTGCCCAGGCCATGTAGGGATAACCTATTATCACCCTAAAACAGCTCTTGCCTGTGAACTACCTGCTGTCCACCGTGTCTGTTCCCATCAGCTGGTGTCTCTCTCCTCTGAACAGCAGCATTATTTTGCTTTTCTTTCCTACAGCCTCAACATGACCTACACTGACTTATAATTCATGTTCATATCTTATCTCACTGATTAAAGGCAAGTGGCGGGACTTTAGCCAATTTTTTTTATTACTCTCAGCGTCTAAAATAATGCCTTGAGAGTTTTTAAACTTTTGTCCCCAACACAAAATACCCTGTGAAGAAAAAAAGATGTTATTATCTAAATTATGTGAAGAAAATGTACATGTGGTGTGTCTGGATGAAGAGACTTCTCTCTGACTCAGACTGCCATTTCACGACATCCTTTGGCTTCTGACATGATGCCTTTCATTTGTTTTTATGCTTAAAATTTTTTTTCATACCACTCTCTCAGGTGTAATGCTCCATGCCTTTTATGGCAGGGGAGGTATTTTCTTCATTTTGTGATTGAAGAAGTCTAAGGTAGCCTCTTAGAAGTCTGAGGAGTACAGAAACCTAGCTTCCAGGTTTCAGCCCTTCCTATACCTCATTGAATAGCCAGGGCCACATTGCCTCCCTGAGACATGGACAAGAAAGCATTTCTTAAGAGAGTGTCTGTGACAAATAAGAATATGGCCAAGGAGAAAAATACAGAAAAAAGCCTCAAATATTTAATTTTCACCATAATTATTATTTCAGAGAATAATAGAAAATTCCATCTATTTCTTTAAAGAAAACAAAACAGGATAAAAACATCACAACACAGTGTTGAGACCTGGGCATCCTCAGCAATCAGGTAGAGACGGTATGTGGTTTTACACTGCATCACAAGCCAGTCACGGCCACTGAGAACTTAGTCCCCGTCCATTTGCCTCATTGAACTCAGCAAAACTTTCCAGACTGAAAATTCTGCTCTGCCCCTCTCCTCTGTTTGCCAGCTGGAAGAACTTAGCTCCTTTTCAGCCCCTTCCTTTTTAGACCATCCCATCTGTATCAGCATTTCTGCCCTGGATCTGTGACTATGAGGCTGGATGCTGTGGGCATATCTAACAATGCTGCATCCCTCTGTCGCTCACATCAGTCTCCAAAATGACTAAAATGAACTGAGCATCCACCCTGTGTCAGGGGCATCTGCAGTAGGCACTTTACATATATTGTCTCAGTTGATTCTCTCGACAACAATGTACAGCAAACATACAGAGCAGGAGTGACTCAGAGACATGGGATAACTCACCTACGGTTACACAGATGGTAAGGATAGAAATTAAGGAACAGCAATATAGTCAGATAAACTTAGAATATGGATGTGCTTATTTCTGAAACAACCAGAGACAAGCAATATGCCCTGTTGTCTCCGTATCTGTTAAATCAATACATGAAGTTATTATCTGAATGAACACTATTTTTTTTTCCAGAGAAAATGCGTAGGCTATAACATGCTTTAGAGGAAAAATATTTTATATAAAATTTCTTTTCCCCAGCTCTGAACTGATAAATATTGGATATAACAACATCATCAGCTTTAGTTTCCCTAAGTATTAGGTAAAGTTTGTTTTGCTCTATGCAGGGACCAAATGATATATCGTAACATTTTGAACTTTTCATACTGCAGAACTTTAGGCCTTAGAGGTTTCTCCAAATTCATCTAAATGTTTGAGTGAGAGGTGGTTTTCCCATTATGCTTCCATGTCCTCTTCTAAGAACTCTTTTCCAAGCTTTCTTTCAAATTTGATGGCCTGGGATCAAGAAAGGTTAAGTTGACTGTTGAAAGTGTTCCCATTAGTTAGTGACAGGGACAGAAAGATCATCAGAGTTCTTATCTACCACAAAAGATCAGAAGAGGGCATGAATATTTAGTTAAAAGAAATCAGTGGAGCATTGAGACAGCTTGCTAGACAAATTACCCTCTAACTTGTACCAGCTCTTCAAACATCCCCTTTCTCTTGGCTGTGAGTATCTTTTGATGGATCAGTTTCCTAGTTGAGTACAACTTGCTATCGATTTAGACAATTTGGGGCATCTGCTGACTTAGGTACAATTCTTGATAGGGTTTTCTCTTAATTTGGTTTATTTGTATTATTTTCTTGATTCTAGTAACTAGTAGAATTAAAAGGAGCAAGGAAAGAAGAAGAAAACATTTCTTTAACACTGTGACTCCATGGTCTGACTCCAGAATCTTCATTTTGTAAAAGTGAATATTAGTGATGCTTATCCTATGAACAAACCTAAGAATGGAAATTCTCCAAGCATAAAAGCAACAGCTGAATAATTTTTTTGTTTGTGAGGAGGCCAAACATAAGGAGGAGTGTCCACTGTAACTCCAGAAACAGACAGGCCCTTAATAAAAGACACACTTGAAGATGAGCTAGCATTTAATGCTATTTTTATTCAGGGTTGCTCACACTAACCACTGTTGAAGGGGAAAGGTCAAGTAGTAGGATGATTTTAACCTATAAGTCTTTTGAAAATAGTATCTTTTTATTAGCATTTGTGTGGTCCAGTGCCAAATTCTTCAGAAATCCATTTTTAAAAAAGAACTGTGCTTCATTGTCTATTTTACTTGCATACATTGCCTATTTTACTTTTCTCTGGCATGTCTGGCA